CAACTAAGTCTGTGCGCCCAACTACTGAGCCTGTGCTCTAGAGCCCGGGAGCCACAGCTCCTGAAGTCCGCGCGCCTAGAGCCGGGGCTCCGCGCCAAGAGACGCTTCTGCCATGAGAAGCCTATGCACCCCAACTAGAGAGTAGCCCCCCTCGCCGCAACTAGAGAAAAGCCCTCACAGCAACGGAGACCCAGCACAGCCCAAAATAAACACATAACTTTTAAAAAGATATAAGGGATTAAAATCATCTGGAACCCTATCACTCAGAAATAATTCACCTTCAACACTTTAGTCATGTCCTTCCAGGGTCTCCATCTCCCAGCCCCTGCCCCCTCCTCTCCTTGACGTTGGAAGAGGAAGCTGATCTATGTGTACTCACTGCCGAATTTCACTCGTTTGAAATGACAATGACACACACCCAGCTCCACTGAGGAGAGGAGAGGCCTAAAGAGAGACCCGCACAGTCACTGCGGTGGCCGGAGTGGGCCAGGGCCCAGGGACAAGGCGGCTGCCCTCACCCAGCAGTGACAGATGAGGATGCGGGGCCCGGGAGAGGCAAAGTGCCTGGCTCTGCAGTGGTGCCTCCAGACCTTCCTGGAGGCATTTGCATGCACCTGGGAGAGGAGAGGGTGGAGTCGGGAAGGATCTCACAGGGAGCGGTGTCCGGACTCTATCTGCTTGCTGTGTTTCTTTCTTTCTTTTTTTTTTTTGCTTGCTGTGTTTCTATGGGGCTGACCCGGTGTGCCCCCATGTGACTCTTCCTGTGTCAAGACTTTCTCAGTTTTAAGTGACAGACTCACTTCGCATTTCAATTTAAAACAGAAAGGTCTCTAAGACTCATCGTACGATACAAGGACCCAGTCCTTGGGGTTCAGGCGCAGTTGGATCCAGGCTCTTGAATAATGTGGTTGTCTGCCCCTCCCCCTCCTCCAGGTTCTCCTTTGCTTGTTTTCATTTACAAAGCTTCTTCCCTGGTCTCCCGCAGCTCCAATTAGGCTCTGCCAGTTCAATGATATACACAGAGAGATCATTCTCCATTCTGTTGTCCTAGCAACACCTGGGATTGATGCTTACTGGCTGGTCATGTGACATCTTCCAGCCAATCACTGTGACTTGGGTTGTCCAGGTCCTGTGTTTGCCCCTGAAATGGGGGCAGGGAGGGGTGTCATCTACCACCTGAGTTTCGTGGAGTGAGTGTGGGAAGGGTAGTTCCTGGAAGGACATGGAAAGGCTGGTCCCTGGAACAGGGGTGACTGTCCAGTCTGATGCCTGAAATGATATACCCCCATTGAGACCTTCCGAAGCAGGGCCTTCTTCCTGAGTTGTAACCTGCTGCTACTCTGATGGGGTGATGGTCACTAGCATATTAGCAGGAAGGGGGGTTATCTGAACAAGTCACTGATACCGGTTGTCATCAGCACAGGGAGGGGCTTGAGGTCTGGAGCCTGGGACAAGTAAGCCAGGAGGAGGAGCGTTCCACAGCCCAGGAAGCCTCAGTGAGTGGGAAGCTCTGACATTCAGAGGATGGCGTGACAGCCCCTGGTGTGGGCGTGGATGTTGCCAAACAGAGTAAGGTTTGTGGACAAGCTGCGCGATTGCACAATGTGGCTCCTGGGGCAGCCCCCGTGGGGCAAGACTTCAGAGCAAATTCTTAGGCCCTCCAGCCCAAGCTCTGGCTTCCATGTGCAAGGACAGCTCACTCCAGGTGGGGTCAGTTCCACTCACTGCCCAACAGCTGTGTCCCCGTGTCTACTCTGGCTCACTACTCCCCAACCCTCCAAGGCCTGCTTTCATGTCGGTGTCCTCTTGTGGACTGGAGCTTCCAGGAGAGTGAGGAGTTTGTGTTGCTTGTTCGCTGTCACATCTCCAGGACCTGGCACACAGCTGGGGCCCAACAAGCACTCTCTGTTTGGATGGATGATGGCTGGTTGGTTGAGCTGGTTGAATGGCTCAGTGGGTGGACAGCTGGGTGGATGGATGTTTGGATGGAAGGATGGTTGAGTGGACAGATGGCTGGAGGGTTGGGTGAGTGGATGGAAGGGAGGCAGCAGGCTGGTTGGAAGGACATCTGATGGACAGATGGCTGGTCGGAAAACTAGCTAGAGGCAGAATCGTGTGGCTGCGAAGATCAGGGTCATTGATGCCAGGCTGCTTGGGTTCAAACCCCATCCCTCTGTCTACTGGTTTGCTGACTTCCAGGAAATTTTAACCTCTTTGGGACTCAATCTTATCCAGATCATCTTATCCTACTGGTCTTTACTCAAAGCCTGCTGTGTGTGAGGTATGGCATTGGCCACAAGGGACAAAAGTTCTACCAGGGAACTCCCAGGGTGTGGGGCAGAGAACTCGAACAAGTGTCTGTGAAGCTGGGCAACTGCCTGCACATTCACACATTCAGCTGCAAGGGCCCACCAAGACACGGGTTGTTTCCACAGTGAACACTACAGTCCTGCACAAACCAGGCTGGCTGAATCTGCAGATGCGGTGTCTTGGATACAGAGAAGCCATGGATACAGGGGGACAACTGGAAGTTATACTTTAGATTCTGACTATGCGGAGGGTCCCCAACCTGTGTTGTTCAAGGCTCAAGCTGAACAAGCATGCAGCCTGATGAATTTTGATGCAGGTACAAGCCCCTGTAGGCTCTCCAGGTGACTCAGAGGTAAAGAGTCTGCCTGCAATGCAAGTGACGTAGGTTTGATCCCTGGGCCGGGAAGATTCCCTGGAGAAGGAAATGGCCACCTACTCCATTATTCTTGCCTGGAAATCCCATGGACAGAGGAGCCTGGCGGGTTATAGTCCATGGGGTCACAAGAGTCAGACACGACTTAGTGACTGAAAAAACAACACGCCCCTGTAACCATGCCCATAAGACATGGAGCATCGCCCTCCTAGAAAGTGTCCCCAGCTCCCTACCATCCACCCTCTCCACCTGCTGGCCTTCGGTGGCCATGGTCTACCTTCAGTTACTTCAAAGTGGCTTTGCCTGCTTTGGAATTCCACACTCAGGTTTTTTTTTTTTTTTTTTTTTTAATGCTTATTATGTACCCCAAACTATGCTGGGTTCTTTTTTTTTTTCCCAATTATTTTTATTAGTTGGAGGCTAATTACTTTACAATATTGTAGTGGTTTTTGCCATACATTGACATGAATCAGCCATGGATTTACATGTGTTCCCCATCCTGAACCCCCCTCCCACCTCCCTCCCCATCCCGTCCCTCTGGGTCATCCCAGTGCACCAGCCCCGAGCACTTGTCTCATGCATCCAACATGGACTGGCGATCTGTTTCACACTTGATAAAATACATGTTTCGATGCTGTTCTCTCAGATCATCCCACCCTCACCTTCTCCCATAGAGTCCAAAAGTCTGTTCTATACACCTGTGTCTCTTTTTCTGTCTTGCATATAGGGTTATTATTACCATCTTTCTAAATTCCATATATATGCATTAGTATACTGTATTGGTGTTTATCTTTCTGGCTTACTTCACTCTGTATAATGGGCTCCAGTTTTATCCATCTCATTATAACTGATTCAAATGTATTCTTTTTAATGGCTGAGTAATATTCCATTGTGTATATGTACCACAGCTTTCTTATCCATTCGTCTGCTGATGGGCATCTAGATTGCTTCCGTGTCCTGGCTATTATAAACAGTGCTGCGATGAATATTGAGGTACATGTGTCTCTTTCAGATCGGGTTTCCTTGGTATGTATGCACAGGACTGAGATTGCTGGGTCATATGGCAGTTCTATTTCCAGTTTTTTAAGGAATCTCCACCGTGTTCTCCATAGTGGCTGTTGTAGTTTGCATGGGAATGCACTGTTTGCATTCCCATCAACAGTGTAAGAGGGTTCCCTTTTCTCCACACCCTCTCCAGCATTTATTGCTTGTAGACTTTTGGATAGCAGCCATCCTGACTGGCGGACATGCAGGTTTGTGAAAGTGCTCCTTCCCTTCTGGGTTCTTCTGCTCTGTGGTGTGTGGGGATTCACCCATGGGTGTGTGTGTCTATGTGTGTGTGTGTGTGTGCATGCACTTCATCCACGGTGACTGCTGAGCAGTTCTCCATGCCATGAAGAACCACGTGTGGTCCCCTCTCACTTGCAGATGGACACTGGCTTATCTCCAGTTCAGGGCTCTTAGGATTAAGGCTGTTACGAACATTTTGTGATCAAGTCTATTGTGGAAATATTTTTTTTGGGGTAAATATACCCCTCACACTAACCCCCTAGAAAGGCCACAGGGCTTCATGGAAACAGCATCAATCTGGTATCAGGCTGACTAGCAGTGACCCCAAGTGAGTCCTGAAACTTGCTGAGTCTCAATGTTACCATCTGCAAAATGGGGCATCTCAGGAGGCTGCTGACTGTTGGATTTCCCTCTGTTCTCAGTGCTGCTTATCTGTCCCCTCTCTGAGGGGAGGGAGTGACCGGTAAGGCACCCCACCATCCACCCTCTCCTGCTTTCCGGGATAGAGGGTGGATGGTTGTAACACACTGAAGCCTTCGCAGGGAGCTTCTCTGTGAGCTGATTTGGAGACCCTGTGTTAACACAGATCAGAGTCTCAGTGAGGTCTCTGCACCAGCAATATTGGAGTCACCTGGGAACCTGCTAGAAATATAGCTGGTGGTTCCCAGCCCAATTCTCCTGCTGGGCATGGGGTCTGGCAATGTGTGTATTAGCACACCCCCCCTCCAGGTGATTTTGATAGCAATACAGTTTGAGAACTACTGATCTAGAAGGTTCTAAGGTACGGAGAAAAACACACATGATCTCTTTCCTGACAAGCCCTGTGGGAGGGAACATGACCTTTCCAGGTCCAAGTCTGGCTTTCAAGTCCAGCAGAGGAGCCTCTAGGCCTAAGTCCCCCTGATGACTGCAGGGGCAGTGGGGTCGTTGGGCTTGGAGAAAGGGCCGGTGGGAAGACCTCTTCCCAAGGGGGTGCCCCCGCCGGCCCCATGACAGCCCCGCACACCCGTGCACTCCTCCTCAGCAGGTGCTCCTGTCTGCCCGCATCCTCCAGCCTCGGGGATGGGGAGGCCTCGGGCTCCTTTCCCCGACCGGCAGACGTGCCTCCGGACAGTGGGGAGTGCCCCTGGGCCCAGGCCCTGCTGCCTCTGCTGGCCTAATGAGGCCGCATCTGGATCTAATTAGCCGTGGAGCCTCCACAAGCGGAGGCCGCCTGTATCAGCCACATGGCAGAGCCCAGACAGGAGAAAAATGGCCGTGATAGGCCGCTTCCTGGCGAGCTGTGAAGAGGCGGCGGGCTTGGGGTGCGGGGGAGTGTCGGGGGAGGGTGCCTGGTGCTGGGGACTGGGGAACAAGAGACAGTGGGGGGTTAGGAGGAGAAGCCTCCGGGGCTGGTGAGGCCCACAGCCCTGCGGAAACCTCCCTCTGCAATTCCCGCGACCCAGGAGCTTCTGAGGTGGAGGGGATCACTGTGTTCTCATCAGTAACCCACGATGTGAAAGACCCCAACCCCCAGCACGTCTAATTCAGGAGGCCTGTGGGGGGCCCAAGAACCTGCATTCCCAGCAAGCTCCCAGGTGAAGTGCTATGGGCTTGGGGACCCTCATTGAAAACCTGGGCTTCAGGTCAACACGAGTCCCCTCTGGGCCGCAAGACGCGATTTCCTGAGAGCTGTGCTGTCTCCTGCTGTCTGGATCCCACTCCTGAGATTCTGGTGAAGTGCTATCTATTAATATTTAACATTAATCACTGTAGACTGTGACTGCAGCCATGAAATTATAAGATGATTGATCCTTGGAAGGAAAGCTATGACAAACCTAGACAGCATATTAGAAAGCAGAGATGTCACTTTGCCAACAAAGGTCTGTATAAGTCAAATGTATGGTTTTTCCAGTAGTCATGTACGGATGTGAGAGTTGGACTGCAAAGAAGGCTGAGTGGCAAAGAACTGATGCTTTCAAACTACGGGGTTGGAGAAGACTCTTGAGAGTCCCTTGGACTGCAAGGAGATCCAACCAGTCAATCCTAAAGGAAATCAGTCCTGAATATTCATTGGAAGGACTGAAGCTGAAGCTGAAACTCCAATACTTTGGCCACCTGATACGAAGAACTGACTCATTGGAAAAGACCCTGATGCTGGGAAAGATCAAAGGTGGGAGGAAAAGGGGACGACAGAAGATGAGATGGTTGGATAGCATCCCTGACTCAATGGACATGAGTTTGAGCATACTCTAGGAGATGGTGATGGACAGGGAAGCCTGGTGTGCTGCAGTCCATGTGGTTGCAGAGTCAGACATGACTTAGCCACTGAATAACAACAATCAACATTTACCTGGAGGATCGAGAGTTTTCAAAGTCACCAGGGGATTCTGAGGGGGTGGCAGAGTGACACCTGTTGGAGATTTATTAGTTGTGGATATTTCTTGGTATGCCAGGCACTGTATGGAGCCATCTGCTGTAGGCCTCAGAGTTGTAACCATATGCTAGATTACAAACCTCCCCAGCTGAGTAGTAACAGTGACAATGAGAGTAACTGTCATCTGTTATTGTTACTTACTGTATTCCCCTAAGTATTTCACATGGATGAACTCAGTCACTCCTCTCAACATTTTGAAGAAAGAAAGGCTATTTTTACCTCTACTTTAGAGAATCAGAAAAGTCCAGGTGGTGCAGTGGTAAAGAATTCACCTGCCAATGCAGGAGATGCAAGAGACCGTGGGTTTGATCCCTGAGTCGAGAAGATCCCCTGAAGAGGGTATGGCAACCCACTCTAGTACTCTTGCCTGAAGAGTTCCATGGACAGAGCAGCCTGGCAGGGTATAGTCCATGGGGTCACCAACAGTCAGACACAACTGAGCGCGCACTTGTACACAGGGATGGAAACACACAGGTGGAAGGCCAGGTTAATAGCTGGTCCACAGTGAGATCTGGAGCCCCACTGGCCTCTCAGCCCAGGCTACCCTGCTCCAGGCATAGGCGAGTGGCTCCCTGGTTGTGGCAGGATAGCTGCCTCCAGTGCCCAGCACACAGTGGGGCCTCAGGCCCTGCCCAGCACACAGTGGGGCCTCAGGCCCTGTGGTCACAGGGCCGCCCTGTCCCCGTGGAGACAGTGGTTCCAGCAGGGGTGGGACAGATCCGCAGGGACCGTGTTGCTTTTGCCATGAAAGCACTCACTCCTCTCTCACCACCATTCATCTAGTTCTTACCATTCCTGGTTAATCCAGCAAGTCCTGACTGAGAACACAGCAGAAACAGCCTTAACAGCCAGGAGGTTTGCCTCAGAATTCAGGCAAGTATCTGAAGGTGGATTTAAGAACTTCTGAGCCATCATGATGGGTTAAGAGCGCAGCTGCTGTCTTTTAGCACTGGCTACTTCCCACTCGGGGGTCCTCTCCCCTTTCAACTCTAAAGCTCACTGACGTGGCAGCCAGATAAGCAGAGGAGGTCCACGGTCTGTGACCAGTGAGGGGGGAGCAGGCTGGGGGGAGCGCAGGGGCTTTAGTGAACCAGACTTCCTGCCGTTTCTTTGGCTTGTTCAGAAATTCCCATTTGAGGACGAAAGCAGTAAGAGAAAGAAAGATAGCATAAACAAATAATTAATGTTATCATGCATTGCATTGAAGGCAGGGGACCTCCAGGAATTCAGGAGACGAGGGTTCGATTCCTGGGTGGGGAAGATCTCTGGAGATGGAAATGGCCACCCACTCCAGTATTCTTGCCTGGGAAATCCTGTAGACAGAGGAGCCTGGAGGGTTATAGGCCATGGGGTTGCAAAGAGTCAGACAAGACTGAGCGACTACATCACCACCACCATGATCACTAAAGGACTAGCCGGCGGGGACAGCTGAGCACAGAGGCAAATGCCCCATATCTCTGAGGAATGGGGCCCACCTCTCAGCACGTGCATCTTCTCTGGTTTCAGAGCACTCAGCGCCTCCCGACACCAGCGTTGCATGATTTGTGCTTCTCGCTGGTCCTCTCGTGGAGAAGGTCAGTGCCTGGTGGGCGGGGAGCTCATCTGTTTCATCTCCTGGTGAATCCCCAGTGCCCCCAGCCTCCCTGGCACAGGAGGGTGAAATAAATGAAGCCCAGCCCAGTCGTCCAGGCTCACAGCAGCGGCCCCAAGGCATCCCAAGAAATTCAAAATATGTCTAAACCCTCTGAGAAATGTGCAAGTCGTTTTGGAAAATATTTTCCATTAAAAAATGGTTGAAATTAAAAAAGGAAAAAGGTTTGGTTGATTAAAGCGGCACAAACAATGTGGGGACCTGATGAAGCTGCTTAGCTGCCTGGCAGTCACGGACAGCTTTGTTGCCAAGGAAACCTCCCACCAGGGAGTTAGACCCGTAACCTGGCCCGTGTTTCCTGATAAGAAAATACACAACACCCTCATTTTAAATGATGGAGAGTGCCAGTACGCTTCGCTCTGCCTGCTCACCTCTCCGCCTCTCTCCTTTTTAAGGAGACTCTTCAGTTCTTCTCTGAACAGAAGGGGCATCTGGGGTGATGGGGGCGGGAGCCGGACCACTCACAGGGGGCGAGCATCTCATCTCTAACCACAAACCCCAGCCAGGAACCTGTTGTAATGTTCAAAGCAAGAGTCAAGTTGGCACTGCTGTTTTGGCTGCCATCACCAGATTTTAGTGAAGGGAGAGCATGGAAACACTGCTCTTCCAGCAGCAGCAAACTTGGAAGCCCCTCTGTACCTTTAAGGACATACTCTGAGGTCATGACCCCCGTGGGGTTCATATTTTTCTTTGCCGGCCCCTATGTGTAATTAAAGCTGATGTTTGAGACAAAGACTGGAGATACCAGGGTGGCCTCCTCGGCGCTCAAACCAGCTTCTCCCCGACCCTGACCCTATCTGCCTTCTTCTCCCTCTTCCTCCCCGTCCCCTCCTCCATCCCCCCAGTTGGATTTGGATAGTGCTGGTTTGGATACTTAGGTGTGTATCTGGCTGGAGGGATTTCCACATCCTTTTGGGAAGAGAATAAAGATGCTCAGGCTCATACGTGATCCAGTCCCGTCCACACAAAAGAGATAGAAAGGCCTTTACGTCTGTGTGGAGGAGGGTTGGGAAGACTAGATGCCAGGCTGGTGCTGGGTGTTGGGGGTGGAGAGGGAGAGGGCAGAGGACAGCCCCCTTCCTCCAGGAAGCCTTCCTGGGATGCTCCCCCAGCCACCAGTGCTCCAGCCTTCCTCGGGCAACCCAGCTGTGCCTGCTCACTCCCTGGTGCTCTGCATACCCCTCAGCACTTTGACTGGTAGGATCTTTCCTTCAGAGGGTCCCGTACTATACCCAGCACAGCGTCTGTAATGAGGAGCAGCCTCACCAAGGTCCTCTGAAAGAACCAATGGGGGGGCAGTGAGTGGGAGGGAGAGCTCCCCTAGTTCTCTCAGTCATGGGGGGTTGGAGGCTCTAGGCTCAGTTGTCTTCCCCAAAGAGGCTCCCGGGAGGGAAGTTTCTGATGGCCCCATTTTCCTGCCCAGACACCCCCACCAGAAGGAAGCAAGGACATGACCGCCCACCCACCACTCTTCCAGATGGCTGGGGAGTGGTGTGTGGGCCTCAAAAGGGTAAACCTAGACTGACCACGTGACCTGGCAATTCCACTCCTAGCGTCTGCCCAAGAGAAATGCAAACACAGGTCTGCATAGAACCTGTACACACGTGTTCACAGGAGCACACCATTCACAAGAGCCGAGAGGAGGAACCCACCCAACCATCCATCAGCTGGATCAGTGGATAGTCAAAATGTGGTCCGTCCACAAAGTGGGAGGCCACTCAGCTGTGAAGAGGAGTGAGGGGCTGACCCACGCCCCGACACGAGAACCTTGAAAACATGTTGGGTGAGCAAAGTCAGATGAAGAAGGCTGGTATCATGTGACCTCATTTATGTGCAATATCCAGAATACGTAAATCCATGGAGACTAGATTACCACTGCCAGGGGCTGGGGGCAGAGTAGAAAGGCATGGGGTGGGCTGCTAAGGGGTACAGATGTCCTTTTGGGGTGAGGAAAGGTTCTGGAATGAGATGGAGGGGATGGTCACACAGTGTCATGAATGCACTAAAGGCCACTGAATCATTCATTTTAAAATGATTAACTTTAGGTTCTGTGAACTTTACCTCAATTTAAATATATGGCTCCCAGTCACCCCTGAGGCTGGTGCATCGTCCACCATGGCCTCTGGGCTCCGAGATTGCCCATCCCCCCACCAATGCTGAGGTGCCGACCCTCTAACCCTATTGCTCTGGATGGCCCACTGTCTTATCTGCAG